TTATAATATTGTGTACTAATACTTGTTTCAAATATATATTATATGTCTCTACGAAAGTATTTCACTGAAGTATTTCCATCTAACACTGCGGAAATAAAATTTGCAAAATCAATCAAATAAATCAGATTGCAAAAAAAATGAGAAATGACCCCTGATAAATAAATAGGTATTTGCTTATGCAAATGCTGATTTTCTAGTAGACATGAACATACAGGAAAATATGTCGTGAAACAGCACATAAGAGTGTTTATTGATAGATTTGCTAATAGTCTGGTTATATAAACGTACAAAGTAGGACCGTAATGCACCGTTGCGCAATATTCTTTGAAAAGCTTTAGATAATCAAACAGGTCGGAGTTATTATATTGGAAACATTGATATATTATATTCATTGTCAGTTGCTAGAGATAAAAGCCTTTGTTAGTGCTTGTTATTATAGAAATGATTTGAGACCTTATGCCAAACATAACAACTGATTTAGTATGTCTGAAAATAGACTTATATCTGTTTTACGTCTGAGCAACCTTACTAGAGTCACGCAAAATCAACTCACAGGTATAATGAAAAATGCTTGTTGACCGAAAAAAAATCTGTTAAACTCTTAATATACTTCATATAATATAAAATATAAACTAGCTGTAAGTGGAATTCTGTCTTAAGTCAATTAAGGCATCGTGCCTTAAGGCAAATTGCTGGAACTTCCCGTACCAAAAATTATTAATTTTTTTAAAAACGATTAACATTTTTGAAGTTAACATTTACTTTGAAAAAATAAGATTTTTGGGAAACTATATATATGGACAAAAAATTACGAAAAAAAGAATTAAAAAAAAAAAAATTTAATTTTTTTTTTTGAAAAAAAAAATTTTTTTTTTTAATTTTTTTTTTTGAAAAAAAAATTTTTTTTTCTTTATTTTGACATATTGTGGAAGATCTGAACTTTTTTTTCAAAGCAATCGTACTGATTTAACTGCATAGGGACAAAATATAAAGCGCGTAAGCGCCGCGTCGCTGTCTAACGCATAAGCATTGGTACGGAACCCATGGGAATGTTAACAAAATGTATACTTATTGTTAAAATCTCTAAAAATATCTGATAATTTGATGTGCATATGTCTAATGATCATTTTTGACCGCCAAATGGCTATTTTTTTTTACTTTTTCCTCCATATCTCGGAAACCGCTAGACCTACCTTTATGAAAATTTTATCGTATCTTATCTTGACAATACAAGTGAAATGTTTTTTGAATTTTTAAATCGGACGCTCCGTTCTCTTAAAAACTGAGTTACCGTTTTCGGCACTTTTGCCCCATATCTTCGGAACGGCTAGACCTGCCTTCGCCAAAACTAATCAGCACGTCTCCTTATCAATACAAATCGAATGTTTTTTGAATTATTCAAATCGGTTGATCCGTATTCCCGAAATCGTCGACGAAAATTTGTATCCGCACATACATACACACACGTACATACATACACACACATACACACACACACACACATACATCCATTTTTTCTAAGGTATGCCAAAATGTTCAGAAACCTTTGAAACGTAAAGATATATAAAAATTTTCATTTTCGATTTTTTTGCGATTACTATAACTTACCCTACGGGAAGTTAATAAATAAGAAAGTCATTTTACTCTACAGTAATCAATAAAATAATACTGGAAAATATCCTTATTTATATATTATATTATTTCATTATGTTACCTTCTTGCATAAGTCTGCAACATTTCAATTTGCAAGAAATTTCCGAAGCATGCTCGAGGCCTCTGTACGTTTTACGCAATTTAAAGGACACGAATGGTGCTTTCCAAAAACATAAATATCGTGATTAAAAAAAAATTAAAATACAAAAAAATGTTCGTGATATGACAAGTAACATCACGATATATTAAATGATTAACCTTCCAGAATATATGCAACGTCCTTCACATCATACGTGAACATTCACATTTTTTTTTGTCTCATAACTGATATAAAATAGGTGAGAACTGATCGTCACAGATGTAGATATGATTAATGGGTATTCAGAAATATATTTAAATTTAAACTCACAAGTAGATAAATATCTTTTACGTCAAAACCAAGATTCTATGTTTCTTGTTTTATATTCGATCACTTCATAAACTAGTTTCAAGAACTATCAAGGTTTTGTGGATCAAATTGAGGTGGATGACCTATTAGTCCTAAGGCTAAAAAATATAGCCATTAACAATATTGTTATTGAATTTGTCCTCAACACTAATTAGATAATTGACTGGGATAGACTAATTATTTTTTTGTTCAGTTTGAATAAATACTTATATTTAATTTTTTATCGAAATTGGATAGGAGCATTTTGGATTTACTTCGAGTACATTTTACTTCTGAACTTACACTACTGAAATATTTATATTTTTGCGTTTTGAACTTATAGATAAATTATAGAGGCTCAATAGATAGGTAAGAGATAATAAAAGGTAATACACGTCAATAATAAATTATTTCTTATTTATAAAACCCTTTTCAGTTGCTAAAGAAAATTTATTGTAACATTTGTAAAGAATTAATTAATGATTTTAGCATTTGCCACAAAAGAGCAATTAAACTACAATAAACTTTAATTAACCTATAAATGTTAGCAATGAATCTCAAACATTTAATATACATATATTGTAAAATAAATTAGAGTAGAGAAATATTTATAATAATGTAGCTTAAAGTTTCATACAAAAGCATACATTTATCTCATAATTTGGATTCATCATAGGACTTTGATGATTTCGAATGACGTTATAGTATTTATAATAACCTATTTCAAAACATTTAATATTCCTCGAACATTTCGTTATGGTACGGGAAGTTCCAGCAATTTGTCTCAGGACACGATGCCATATACAACCAGTTTAAAGTATATAAGTGAGTTTCAGAACTTTATATTAATTAAAATCTGAATTATTTTCAATATATAAAAAATTAAAAAAATTTTTTTTTTCCAAAAGCAATTGTTTTGTCAATTTTTATAAACACAAGCAGAAAGTTTTTTGAATCATTCAAATCGGATGCTTAGTTCTCATAAAAACTACCATTTGTGGTATATTTAGCTCTGTATCTTCAAAATGGCTGGACCTGCCTTTGCCAAAAAGTAATCATTTCTCTGAATAAAAAAATCTTTAACCCAGTACAAGAATTTTTATGATACCTCCCATCGTTCGCAAGATATTCGCCAAAAACTATTTCAAATTTTTAAGTTTCAAACGGTTAAGCGCCGATAACTTTTTGAGATAGAGCTATGATGTTTATGAATGAAATATTCGTATCTGAAATATCTTTCAGCTAGTACAAAAATTTTCATGATAACTCTCACCGTTCGTGAGATATTCGCTAAAAACCATTTGCTTTCTAACGTCATAAGGAACCTATGATGAAAATATGAGCATCTTCCGAAAAAAATCGTGAAAATATTAATATACATTTTTAAACGCTTATAACTTATGAACGTAGGTATTGCTTCATTTATATTTTTTTAGCGGTTTTTAGCAGTAAGATACCACGTGTATTTATTTTTTTCCTGGATTTGAAACAAAAACATTTTACGTTTTTTCTTAAATTCGAAAATTTTGTTCGAGAAATTTGACGTAATTAAAAATACACGTAGTATTTTTGGTAGGGGAGGGGGGTAATTCTAAATTTCACGACGTATCACTAAGGGGAAAGGGAGTCAAAAAATCCCTAAAAAATTACTTGATTAATGGACGCCCCCTAGGTTCGACACCCAGTTGCTTTATAACAGTAATGAATATTCAAATATCTCAAAATAATATTTTCAAAAAAGTAGCTCACATGGCTACTCTGTCTAATATCTTGAATAAAATGCAAATATAAAATCTCATTGTGCATAACATTGGAGAAGCATTAGCAACATCTGTACTCTATCAAATAAATATCATATAAATCCGTGAAACAAATCGAGTTATAATAAATAGTAATGTAAATTACTATAATGATGTAATAGGTCACAGCTCTCCGGTGCAACGTTTATAAAACTCGCATAGAAATGTAGAAATAAAACAATATTATTGAAATATCTTCATCGTGACCTGACAAGGCCGTTTATTCATTGAATTCCTCTTTAAGATCAAGGTCGAGCAGTGAGAATGGTCGGTTCGCGTGATAGTTTGCTCTGCTGATACGATTTGTGAATTGAATACTTTTAATTTTTTTATGAACTTTTTATGAATTTAATAATGATTTTTTATTGAACGAAAAGGAATAAAACTTTTGGCGCCATCCGGATAAAATCGTGACATCGGCGTTATTGAAATTGTGTGATGGTCATCGAGTCTTTAATAAATTAGTTAATGTATTCAGATTATAGAGAAAGAGAAAATTATAAGTTTTGTAGAGTTTATATTTTTTGCAATTGGTTTAATAAGGATGAAATATAAACCAAAAATTTAATTGATTTTCTGATGAAAATTTTCTCAAACAATATGCTGGCTAAAAATGCATTCAAAGAGTTTATCTCCAATGAGATAACTCCTTTTTTTGGACGTTTCATTTAAGAATATTATAGAGATTGTATGATGATTATCGAATATATAAGATGAGTTAATATAGATGAATTAACTCAGTAGAGTTAATATTTTTTTGTTATTTTCGATTAAATAAAATTATTGGTCTATCATAATCGAATTTTTATGAACATATTTAAATTTGAAATTCAATAAGTAGCAGAGTTTCCAATTTTTTGTTATATTTTGTTTAAATAAAATGTTGGATTTAATATTTCATTTTTGTTTTTTAGCAACTAAACAATATTATTAATTAATTATTATTAAAAATATATGTTCATTTATAGGTACTCTATTTAGTTAGACTAATTGCTTAGAAAACGCTATTCAAATTATTCTATTTTAACTTTAGACTAATTGCCTAGAGAATGCGATTAAAATTATACTATTTGCTTTTTTATTATTACTGTTGCGTTTATATTTTTATATTATTTTTACAGACTGTCCAAATTGTGTAGAAGAAGAACAAATGCCACACAGGTGGGCGATGCCCCTGTTAAAACTAGGCGAGAAGAGGTACTACTTAGGAATATTTTTCAAGGTAATTTTTTTATATTGTTGTAGTATAATAATCTCATATGCACCAAAAATTGTATACCAGTAACTCATTCGACGAATTATTTAGCTAATTTTAACTAATATTATCTTTTGTACGACAATGACTAAAACCGGACTACATTCTGTAAGCATTTTTACTAGGCATCACAAAAATCACAAGTCCTATATTTGAGAGTAAATAAAACAAATGAAGATAACATCAAATCTAATTCTCAATATTTGATAATTTCCGAATTTTTCTCTTAGCTTGATTGTATTCAGATAATTTCGGCAACTATTTTTTTAAATAAAATATGTTTTTTTTCATAAATCGATTATATATTATAAAGAAGATGATGCATATTAACAACTTTTATTGTATAATTCGAAGGACAGTATCACGTGGGAATTTTAAGCGACTCAATAAACGTTTCTTGTATCTGGGACGTGCATTTTATTAAAATATCATTATGAGAAATGTACTAAATCTTTATTTTGTACGTTATGGAATTTACAGCATTGGTATGAGACCAGCAATATTATAAAATAACATGATAGCTACGTAAAATAGTCCTAGAACTGCGGTTAAATGGAAAGATAGGTGCTATATTTCCACATAGAATTAATGTTGATATATGGATTTGGATTACATGAATACAAAGAAACTGAGAAATATATCTCAGGCACGACTAGACCACTCATCTTTCAAATTTGAGGATTAATTGTATCATCATATAAATATTTCATATGATGGATACAGACACAGAAACAGCAGTCTATGTACTAATAACGTTTAGTCAGAGGTATATAAGCATGATTATTAAATTTTTACAAATATTGCTTATTCTAAAACTATTTTTGAACTCCCTTACAAAATCCACCACCCCGTAAAGACAATATCTCATGATGTCCATATTTACTTATATGTTTTTAGGTCTGTAGAATTCTTCCCAACACGTGCGAGTTACCTATGCTGCCTAATTGCTTCATTTAGGTTTATAGTATATATTGCCTTTTTTAAATATTAAGTATAGTTCAATGTGAGCAACTAATTTCATAATACTTTGTTGGTTGTAAAATATTTCCAGGAAGGGGATAAAATACCAGATAGAAGTGCGTTTTCTCGGCCGCGACCAATTTGCAGACCCCTGGCATTTGCCGCTTTATGTCAAAACAAGACGGTCATATCGGTTTGTGAACCCGAACATAAGCCAAATTTACCATTAATAAAGGTCCTTATTTAATCATTTTTATATTAAAATCCATTGAAAATCCTTTTCATGAATCGCGAATTACTGCGGCGGCCGTCTTGGATTATCATCAATTGGCTGACACGTAATTTAAATCACCAAAGAAATTCTCAGGGTCGAATTATGAGTTTATATGGCGTTCAAAATTTAAATAGGGTCAAAAAATTATTTCCGACAAAGAAATACGAGATATTTTGCCGGCGCGGTAAGTTGCAGCTCATGAAAACATAATGGAAGAATTTTGAACAAATATATAATAAATGTTGGAAGAATTTTGCACAATTTTGTACAAAGCTTTGCACTACTAATAGATATGATATACTAACTTTACTATAATTTTTATTTAACACTTTGTTTGTAAAAAGGGCGGTTATTAACAGTGATAATTTACTAAAATTAAATGGTATTCCTCAAAAATTAACAGCTTACAAAAGAAAATGAAATTATTTTGCGAATAATTCATAAATATTTTATATCAATATTAGATTTTTAATAATTACAAGTATAGCTGAAAATTTTCGGCTAACATCCTTCGATCATTATGTGGAAAATTAAGTTTACTATCCGAGTTCTAAAAAAATGACACTAAAGCCCGGCGCACACGACGCAAGTGTTTCTTGTAACATATTTTCTGTCAAGATTTTATGGTAAAGTGAGCGTTTTCAAACGTAAAATATGACTATCATTTTATTATTTCTTTACTATTATTATTTTATAAATATAAATATGAGATAACATACACGGATTTATCATATTACATATATGTTTTATATTTATATTCCAATAAACAGTTTTTGACGAATATCTTGCGAACGATGAGAGGTATCATACAAATTCTTGTACTGGGTTATAGATTTTTTGATTTAGAGAAGTGATTACTTTTTGGAAAAGACAGGACGAGCCATTTCGAAGATACAGAGCTAAATGTACCACCAATGGCAGTTTTTGTGAGAACTAAGCATCCGATTTGAATGATTCAAAAATCTTTCTGCTTGTGATGACAAAAATTGACAAAACAAGTGCTTTTGGTTTTTTTTTAATTTATTTTTGTATATTGTAAATAATTGAGATTTTAATTAATATAAAGTTCTGAAGCTCACTTATATACTTTAACTAGTTGTATATGACATCGTGTCTTGAGGCAAATTGCTGGACTTCCTGTAATAACGAAAACGTTACAAGAAATACTGGCGTCGTGTGCACCGGGCTCAATACTCAATTTACTTTAATTATTGAATTTTTTGTTTGTTTGTTGTTATTTTAGTTGATTAATATTAACACAATTATCCTCATATTATGGTGTTGCTTTATTTAATATTAGGATATCAAACTTTTATTTTACTGAGTGAAGACTGAACGGTGTTGGCCAGAAATTATGGATAACAACTTTGTACTTATTCGTACAAATTTTATTGGTGTACCACCTATCTAAATCTAAATCTTTAGATCTTTAAAAGATCTGTAAATCTTTAGAATCCGACTCAAAGTTAATGTATCAACATAAAATTCAAGATTTTACATAAATAAATATATATTTATGTGTGTGTGTGGATGTAAAGGTTAATAACGTACAATGAGCAAACATTTGTCGGCCCATTTAACGTTCTTACCGGTTTAGAAAACTGCCTGCAGTCAAATCAATTACCCTCAGAGTGTTACTGAACGGTAACATTTGCTGGACTTAAATCAATCAATATAATTTCAATGTACAAGTACTCAAGATTACGACCTTTATCGATTACTCATATGTACTGAGTAATTAATGTATAAAAACAATTATATTAATGCCAATCAATATAATAATAAAAAATGCGCCTACGATTTTTCTTTACTATGACTAATGGTAAAGTAAAAATATCACTAGCGAGATTACTGGCTAATTGGTTATTTTGTAATTCATTCAATAACTTTCCAAATGAGAATTTAGTTTATTTATTTTACAGGAAGTTCATGACTCTTGCCTTATATTAAGGCAAAATTCCACTCACACCTAGTTATTTATGATTTTATTAATTAATTTCCTAAAGCTCACAAAACGTTTTATGAGAATCTTCGTACAAAGAAAAAAATCTTAGCATGTGCTAAATGAAATATAAAATTAACTACTTTTAGAAAACTGTTAACCATTACTTGATCAAGCTCACAAGATAAAAGCACCACAATATTTTATTATTAATTTCAGAGTAGAAGAGTAATTTAAAAAGAAATAATGGCCGGCGGCTCATACGTCAAATATCAAATCTGTCAAGATTACGTTCGATTAAATTTAATAGGGTATTTTATATGAATGTTATTGAATATTATTAAAGAGTCGCTAGTCTATTATATATTCAATTTTACCTAAGGAGAAGTGCCATGTGTGTTTTATTTTAAAAAGAAAACGAACGAATTGATTTTCTCGATTTTTTTAAACGAGATTATATGATGCTAATATGATCATATTTGCTTTATAAGAAAGTTAAGCACCAAAAATCAATAAAATCTTAAAGATTAATATACCTTTTTAATCAACATTGTCCAAAGTGCGAAGTAATTTATTAACCCAGTTCGGTTATCACTTACTATAAATACTGGTGTTGAAATGTTATTTAATCTAAAAGCTCATTAAACAAGTGCGTGCGAATTATGTAACAATAACTTGATTTCTGAATAAATAAACAATAAAATGGTTAATAACACAACGAACCAGTCATAATTTATGCTGTCAATTTTGGTCACTTTCTTGCAATAAATTTACACATCGCGAAACTTTCACTGTCGAATCTCTTCTTCCTCAAGAGGTGGTAAAAAACAAATTAAAATAAATTCAAAAATTTTACAGAAATTTAAAAAAATGATTGAATCGAAATATAGTTTAATGAAATAATAATTTAAGCGAATTTTATACTTTTTGGGTATGTTTACACATTCCAACGATCACTCCTGTGACTATATAAGATATGTACTATTGCTGGTCCTGATACGTTATTTTTTCATGAATAAAGCTTGGGCGCAAATTTCATATAAATCAAAATATATTATAAAAAATAATTCTTAAAAAATACTATTACACGTCCACTACAATTTAAAACCATCTACTTCAACATGTATAACAAAATTCCAACGAGTAGTTCAATATGTAGAACAAACGTATTACTAATGCTTCCGAAATGTATCAAAAAATTTAATAGGAATGTAAAATATATTGATACGCATTTAATATGACTAATATGAATAAACTTATGCATATGATATTAGTGAAAGTGTCTTGACCACAACATGAATAACTATAACACATGCCATTATTATTTGCATGTTTTTTTTTTGGTTTTATTTATATTGTTCAGTTCTAAATAAATTTATTGTGGAATAATATCTAAATATCACATAAATCTGTCCACGATTATTTCGGAATTTATATCTATGCGTATGTATTTTTTTTTTGTTAACGGATGTTAAAAATGATGAATTTAGCACAGAAGTGATTTTATATCGATGTGATCAATGTGTAGGCGGCTGATGGAACTTTTTTATGATTATTAGAACTAATTTGTCATGATAAAATGTTTTGAGACACTGTTTTAAATTTCAAATCTTATAGTTTCGTTAAGCTTTTTGCAAATTCAGTAGGTATAAATTTACCATTCCAAGGAATTTCTAGACTTGTTTACATAAGCAAGTATAAGACAGAATAATTATTACTACTTTAGTAAAAACTAAAGATAAAAATATTTGACACTGTAATATAGTATTAAATATGTGAAATACCTACTCA